TATGTATTTCCCCCTTCCCCACTTGTTTGTTAGCCGCCCTGAGTTCCTCGGGAATAGGGCGGCATACAAGTATAATAAACATCCAACATCCATCCAACATTACTTAGCTAGGTAACATCATCAGTGCTAGAAAAAATAAGGTGTGCAAAGTGTAGGGTGAGAAGGAAGAGGAGGAGGAAGAGGAGCTGTGGGTCCGTGGTGCTCTCAGAGCTTGGTTGTTTCCTTGCAGATGTTTCATTACCCAACTAGGTAATATCATCAGTGCTAGAAGGGAGTGGGATTTGTGAGATTATGCTTATCCTGTCAGTGTTGGTGGGAATGTTCTTAGTAATTCCTTGATTAGGCTGTTGTTCACTATTTGTTTGTCTGAGCTGGCAGTTCCTCGATTGGGGTATTGTTTACTGTTGGTCTGGTATTAAGCCAAGTGTTAATCTTTGTTTATCTGAGTCTTAATTGCTGGCGAGGAAGTGTTTTCGTCTTTTTTGTTTCCTTTTTTGCTTTTCGTCTCTCTTGAATGGTATGTAAATGGTATATAAAGTGACCTCTAAAACCAAAAGCATTTAGACTTATATACTGCTTCATAGTGCTTTTAGCCCTCTAAGCAGTTTACAGAGTCAGACTCTTGCCCCCAACAATCTGGGTCCCCATTTTAACCATCTCAGAAGGATGGAAGGCTGAGTCAACCTTCAGCTGGTCAGGTTCGAACTCCTGGCAGTGGGCAGAGTTAGCTTGCAATACTGCATTCTAACTACTGGGAGGGAGGGAGGGAAGGAATGAATAGCACTTAGACTTATATACAGCTTCCCAGTGCTTTACAGCCCTCTCTAAGCAGTTTACAGAGTCAGACTCTTGCCCCTAACAATCTGGGTCCTCATTTTACCAATCTCGGAAGGTTGGAAGGCTGAGTCAACCTTCAGCTTGTCAGGTTCGAACTCATGGCAGTGGGCAGAGTTAGCTTGCAATACTACATTCTAACGATTCTGGGAGGGAGGGAGGGAAGGAAGGAAGAAATAGCACTTAGATTTATATACCGCTTTCCAGTGCTTTCCAGCCCTCTCTAAGCAGTTTACAGAGTCAGCATAATGCCCCCAACAATCTGGCTCCTCATTTTACCACCTTGGAGGGAAGCAGGCTTGAGCTGGTAAGAATCAAACTGCTGGCAGTCGGCAGAATTAGCCCGCAATACTGCATTCTAACCACTACGCTACCATGACTCAAAACCAATTGATACTGTATGTGAATAAGACTTTCTGACCCACTTGGACCCCCCACCCTATATTAATGTGCAGTCTTCTGAGCCTGTTTATCCATTTCCCCAAATTGGTAGCCCCTGAGCAATATTCATGGTATTTTGTTTCTTTACTTCTTTGGGTTTATTTTCTTAAAATGTTATTTTCCTTTGAAGGATTGGAAAGGATTTTCTTATTTTTATAATGTGTATTGAAATCCCCTTTTGATCTCCATCCCTTTTTCATCATAAGTTGTCCTCCGTCACCTTGTGGTCACGAGCAACTCTCTGCTGTAGGAAAAACAGGCAAAATGAATATTTAAGTATTAATAAATAACAGATTGTTCTCCTGCCCCTTTCTTGAGACCTGCGATCCACAGCAGGCGAACAGGATCTGGACCAAGGGGATTTATCCTATCAAAACTGATTGTCAGTTTGTCTTCTGACCTAGGCTTCCCCAAACAGCAGGAGGCAGAGTCCTGGTCCCGACAAAACCCCTTTTATTAAACGAATGTGAACTCCTCTCATTCACACTCAGCAAAGGCTTGGCAAACAGTCTTTCAAAGGAATATATATGACCACAGACCTTATCTATCTTGGAAAGCTGCCATTTAAATATTTTGCAAATGAGATGCTGTGCAAGGAAAGACTTGGCATAGAGTCTCTGAGATTCACGGACAGATCTTCATACTCCTGAAACGAATCTAAGGACCGAATGAATGAATGGTTTCCTGCAAAAGCCCCCTCCCCTTTCGCTCCTCTTTTATTTCCTATGGGAGGAGCGATTCACCATCCACCTGTGGCCTTACTCCCAAGTCGACCCTGATTTCTGAGTTGTACTTTTCTTCTGGCAGCTCTGCACATGCGCACACTGGGAACAGGCTCCAGCTGCTCCTCTGCCTCACTGCTGTCTCGCCCCGAGGGCACCTGATCATTACCAGATGGCCTCGGCCCCGTCTCTGCCTCTGATGCAGAGCCCTCGTCCGAGCCTTCCCCAGCCTCCAGGACTTGCCCATGCTCCTCCCCAACCTTCTCACTGTCCGACTCTGCTGCCAAGTTCGCTGGTGGGCCGCAATAGTTTGCAGACTGCCTGTGTCCTGTATCTTCTCTTGCCTAACTTGTATTTGTCTTGCTTTTTCCTTTCTCCAGAATATACCCTACAGTTTCCTGAATTCCTGGCCGATACATTGGAAGTCCTCTATCTGAATGACAATCAACTAGACTCCGTCCCACAGTCGGTTTGTCTCCTCAGAGGGCTGTCAGAACTCTACTTAGGAAAGTGAGTTGAGTTCTTCCCAACAGTTGTAGAGAATATTTAATTCATTAATTCAGGAGAATATAATTCATTAGCTGCTGAAACTCCAAAGATTTCCTTTGATGAACTTGGCCATTTCAGTGCAAAGATTGGGTGCTCCTGATCTTCTCCAAATATTTTTGAAGGTGTTTCCATATTTCCAAGGGAGCATTGCCAAGATGTAGGACAGATGATAAGGGAATTTTAGCTCAATGCAGCTGGAAGACCCAACATCCAAAAAATGGGGAAAGACAGGATGAGATTTCCTATCTCCATCTCTGAATTCTATCTTTGGTTGGGGTAGGAGCTGGTTGAAGAAAAACATTATGTGCTCATTGTTTTCTTGGAAAGAAGGGTAAGATTAAAAAGAAATAAATGGACTCCTACATTGGGTAAAAGCCTGTGATTTTTAAAGTTGATAGTCTTATGAAATGATAAATGTGAAATGATTTTTAACAGCATTGCTGAGAAACACATAAAACGGAATTTAACAAAAAGGATTGTATTTCATCTTAGCTAACCAAAAAAGGGGAGAAACTTTGTTTGTTCAAGAGACTTAGTTAAGAGCAACGAAGATGATTAGGGGACTGGAGACTAAAATACATGAAGAACGGTTGTAGGAACTGGGCATGGCTAGTCTAGTGAAGAGAAGGACCAGGGGAGATATAATAGTCATCTTCCAATATTTGAGTCTCTGCCACAGAGAGGAAGGAGTCAAACTATTTTCCAAAGCACCTGAAGGCCAGACAAGGAATGATGATGAATGGAAATTGACCAAGGCATGATTCAACCTAGAAATAAGGAGGAACTTTCTGACAGTGAGAGAAATCAACCGATGGAACCGAAGTTGCCTTCGGAAGTTGTGGGAGCTTCATCACTTGAGACTTTCAAGAAGAGATTGGACTGCCATTTGTCAGAAATGTTGGGTCTCCTGCGCAAATGGGGGTTGGACTAGATGACCTATAAGGTCCTTTCCAACTCTGTTAGTCTGTTAATTGGGTGTCTCTAGTCTAGTGAAAAGAAGGACTAGGGAAGACATGATAGCAGTGTCTAAGTTTAAATCAGGAGAACCCAAGATTTCTTTTAAACTATTGATTTGGTTTTTTTTCTTTAGTCATCCTTGGTTCCCACACTTGTAAGGAATGGGT